TCCAGGTTCCTAATGCTACCATCCTGCAAGCTCTCAAGAAAGATGGGCAAATTATTGAGGAAATTAAGTGTCATGACAATGTATAAAGAAACAATAACGCTTTCCTTGATCATGCTTCTTTTAGATAATCTTCCGACGCCCTATGTAGATCAGGTTGTTATAAGCCTTTGTTCTTATGTGGTAATGCTTATGTGGGGGAGACTTATCGACTCATACATAAGAGCCTATCAGAACACAGAACCGCCTGCAAAAGTTTATAGATTCATAAATTGGAAGTGGATGAACATGTGGTCGCTACAGAACACCAGATTTGTTCTAAAGCACAACGTTTTGTCGGATATGCTTAATTAATAGACTCAAGGATAGAGAGGATGCTGAGCAACTTGCAAAAAGGAGGCGACTCAATTAGTCTTTTCTTGTTATGGTTCTAATCATAGTAAGTTCTCTGTACTTATAACTCAATCTTCCTCTCTCGCATCAAGACCAAAAACAAAAAGGCTCATCAACATAACAAGACGTGTGTCTGACGGTGGGCAATCGGAGTGATGCTTATAAAATATATGTGGAAAAGAGGCGATAGTGGTTATTAAACTTTGATGGCTAATAACTGACGTTACTTTTGCTATCATAATTACATTGAGCCATTACTGCTGGTTTCATGCATAAGCGAACACAAACGCGCACATACACATACGGTGACAGACACACTCATAGGCTTCTAGGTTGGCATATGACCGCAACTAACCAAATCACTTTATACCTCATCAAAGCGGTCAGATATAGTGTATACATAGCACTTTTTAAGGAATTGCCGTTGAGTTTTCATGACTCGTCAGTTTGAATTTGGTTTTACGGACGCTACTCTGCTTTGATGAGGTTCGTCATACAGCAGACGAAACCTTTGCACATTTTCACCGGATTCGAAAGAAAATTACCTAGGAAACAGCATAAACAATAATCTTTGATATGAAAGTTGGGTTTCGAAATAGGGTGAATACATCTCATTACAATAATCTTTAAGTAAAGCCAATCGACAACTGGTCAGGAGGAAGCCGCCGTCGTCTTCTAGTGGAGTCGACCTCCGAATCGCTTCACCGAGCACTGTTACTCGAAATAGAAGTAGGTTCAGGAATTAGGAAACAAGAAATTCCTCGAAACCCAACTTTTCTTTGCACTTCATACGGCCAACCACTTCATAGAATGTCTCATTAAGTTCGCAAACTGAGGTATAAGAAGTAAGTAGGACCTCAGCTGGCCACCTTTTTGGTTTAGTTTTTTTTGTGCATGTTAGTGAATAGTGGTTTCTGGCTCTGACGATGTCCATCACATGACGAACGAAAGTTTAGCACCGAGGAATCGGGGTTCTAGTACGTTGAGCCGAGGCCTACTTCGCAAGGCAACCCTCTTTCGGTATCCGGCGAACCCAATCTATGAATCACTTCTACCTGTCTTTTCAGATGAAATGAAACATGTCAATATCCTTCTAGCAGATATTTTTTGCTAAGAGACAAAGCGAATTGACTGGAGCACGCAAAATATTGTAAGAGTGACTAAAAGTTATTCAGGCGGATAAGGGAGGAATAACAGTTGTAATGGACAGAAAACAGTACTCGGAAAAAATGGAATCTACCCTATACGACCGGAATACTTGTAAGATACTACTGAAGGATCCCTCCATGAAGATTCACGGGAAATTGAAGGATATGCTAAAGGAAATTCACAACAACGAGGAAATCGACAAATGGATGATAAACTCTTTATGTAAAAAGAACGCAAGTCAACCGAAATCCTACACACTACCGAAGATACACAAGGAAGGAAGACTTCTAATACTAAGAGTCATCAACAGGCATTGAGCAATACAAAAACAAACGAAATTCATTTATTTGAAGCTCAGGAGAATAACTGATAGACTCTTGAACACCATGAAGAATTCATATGAATATTCTTAAAGGATTCAAAACATTGGGCTGGCGGGGATGGAACTATTGGGAAGTTTTGAAGTACAATCCATACACTCGAATATATTAGACAACAAGGCGAGATGGTAAGCGCCCTGCTGGAAATATTGGAACAAGAAGGGGATATCTTGGAGGCAGATTGGATATAGAAGCAGTCATCGAAACAACAGATGCGTCTAATAGTAAGGACCACCTATTCTATATTCGATGGCAATAGCTCTGAGAAAATATTTGGACTACCGATGAGATCCCAACTCATACCTCTTTTGGCAAACGTGTACATGGACAAATTGGAAAAGGAATTCGAGTAGTCACTGATGCAATAAAGAATGCTTATGCGATGCCTGGATGATAACTTTGTACTTTGGTCGCATGGTAACGAAAATTTTGGTGAATGAACCAAATTGATGAATCAATAAAATTTACAACGGAGATGGACAAACTTGAAAAACTGATTTTCCTGGATGTTAAGGTCATTCATTCCAGCGGGAAACTCAAGCGGATGCTATTCAAAAAGAAATCACGTGCGGGAATAATCCTAAATTTCTAGTCTAATCACAACTACAGACTGGATATATGAATACCAAGGAATTTGAGCATCAGAAGCTTAAGGCCAACGAACATGCAGTTGTGGAACTAAGAGTCTAACGAACATACCAGGATTTGCGTTAGTAGCGGGTACTTCAGAGAGTTGATAGGAAGCCTTATAAATAACAGATTTAAACTTGGATTTTATGAAAATAATGTAACATGGATAAGGAAAGATCCGAAATAGAGGAATACATTACGTGGACGGGACAGGAAATCTACTGGAAATCGACAGAAAGGCAGGCTGCATATGGTGATAATACAAGAAAACTTAAGGTACGAGAAGCAATCGATCACCTGACTGAAATAAATCTAATAAACCGAATACTTGAAGAAGGCAAGATTAGTGAAAATTTGCATATTATATGAGATGTATTCACCTAATTTCGTTTAAGGTGATGAACGACAGGTAGTAGAATTTTTCCACAATGATATGAGTAGAGTTAGCATTTCCATTGAATTTCACATATTCTTGCTTTCCCAAAAGTTGTTCTGATCCAGAGTGGACTGCAGTTTCGACTTCGCATCGGTATTATCGACACCCCCAGTGGCAGTCGAACCGTGACAAGGCAGAATGGTAGTTCGACACGTTAACCACTCGACCAGATTGATACGAGTTCCATTGGGTCACAGGGGAGATGTGAATTTCAAGGAAGGCCAGGCCTTCTTTGGTGGGATTGTCGATGAAGCAAATATATATTTGCTATAACAATCGACTACATTACTTATAGAGTATGTTTGACCTTGTTTTCGCAACATGGTCATATTGGTAGGAAGACTTAGAGGAACGCACCTAGTTCAGGGTCCATTGTCTGCATGATCATTTCCAAAGTTGAACGTGGACGTGGTACATTCCTAAACGTTTCGCCGGCATCGTAAGTGAGTATCGTCATTCTTAGCACCTAGGGTTTATCAGAGTCTCCCTCTTGCCCCGTAAAATTCGTCTACTCTACCCCTTGTCCACCTATTTCACTAAACTGCTGCCACCACATCTGTCCTACTCGAGGCGTTATTCGCCCTCCCCTGCGTCTGGGTGAGTAATTTGAGGCGCAAGCCTCTGAGTGTCATAGTCACCCCTTTACTACATGTACCACGTCTCAGGTACAACAGACCTACCGTCAGCCAACTAGTTCCGGTCCCCGCCATCTCTATCCTGATTCCATCCCTAATAGCAAGTCTATGATTTGCCATGTCCTAGTCTCTTGTGTGCCAACCCACAAATGTTGTGGTACAGCTTGTTTAGATTTGGTTCAATGTTGAACCACAACATTTGTGGGTTGGCACACAAGAGACTAGGGCATAGGAATTAATGGGCTTGGTATTATAGATAGAAGATAGGAGCAGTGGAAGCTAGAGCTAGTTGGCTAACAATATTCGTGATTCAAGGATCACGTTTATGATCAAACACGTCTATTGTTATCCAAATAGCTTTAGTCTCCACCACGACTTTCCTGTTTCTATCTGTAACACCATTATTATCACTTCTTATGTCCTAGTCTCTTGTGCGCCAAACAACAAATGTCGTGGTTCTATTTATTTTGATAAGGCTCACTGAAGACGTCTCCTCTTTGCTTCTGATTCTTCC